TACTCTGTGTGACCAAGTGATGATTTTGATGTCTAGACGAAATTCTTTACATTGCTGACTTCCAAAAATTTTCTCAGTATCCTACATTCAGGGTTATGGTAACAGATCTGGCTACCCATGGAGGAACTTGCTTCCCATCTGTATCAGCAAGGGAGTTGAAAGTCAATGTTTTTTACCCCCAGCCACAACACCAAGAAGACAATGACTGCTGCTTGCTGGTACTGCCATGTAATGTTACACGAGCAGCCAAACACAGGGAGAATGCTTTGTTTGCCAAGTGCTGCCAAGTTCTCCTGCAGCCTCACTAACATTATCACCATCCTCCAATCACCTAATAACTTTCTTCAAACTTACAGCAAGAGTCATCTTTCTTATTGCATCAAAGGATCAATTCTGATTTTCTGTGCATTACTACCACTCACTCAGATGAATTGAGTTATTCCTGAGATAAAATGTGCTCAGGGTTTAAATACAAATGCCCCTCACTTTGATAGATATAATTTATACAAGCTGACCAAGACCATTTATATATTATCACATAGGAAGTCTTCATTTTAGATAGAATTCCAGTTAAAATACTAAGAACAAAATATTTTGTCTTTTTGTTTCTTCCCTAGAAAAGTGTTAGTAATTTTTCTTCTTAGCAGCCTAAAGTATCATACTGGTATCTAATAAAGCTGTTTATACATATGAATTTTAGTATTTAGCCTTCCAAATACAATCCTGGATAGATCATGCTATAAGAACACAGTAGTAAGGTGACTAGTAGTGACTCTTCTACTTTGTTTGCACAAAACCTGACAGCTTGACTCTAAAATGGACAAGAAGACCCAAAAAAGAAATGCCACTCTGAAAGCCTTTATTTCTGCAAAGTTTATGAACTGATAAACATTACAAGGAATACTCAAGACATGCCACACATAAAGGCCAACATGAAATAAAGGCCTTTTATTTCATGTTGGCCTTTAGGTGTGGCATGTCACTGCACACTAAATGATTAACCACTCTCCTCATAGTGGAGTGCATGTGTGTGTGTGCAAGAGTGAGCATTTTTATACACCGCATACATAATTGCCATCACTAATTAAAATAATTATCCAGACACTCTGGATCTTTATAGTAAAGATGTACAAAATAGTATTTTAAATACTTATGACTGCCTTCACTGTTGGTTCTTTCTTATGAGGATCACACTGGGAGTTCAAGATGTTAGAAATTGAGAATGTTACAGAAAGAAAGAAAAATAAATTGAATTCTTCCCAGCAAACACCTTGTAATTTGATTATACATAATGAATGATTACTAGATTTTCTTAGCAGCAAGAGCTATCTTTCGGTCACCCAAACAGTACTTCCCAAATCAATCACAAAATAAAAACCATGATTGATTGATTGTTGTTATTCTACACCAAAAAGCAACCTATGGGATGGTGAAGTGGATTACCATGTTTGTTTGATCTTTTCCAAACAGATTTCACTCAATAAACTACTTATATGTTTTTATAATCGCATCATACTAGAGGCTGTTTTTCACTGTCAGGAAAATTTCTCTGGGTGAGAACGAAGAGTAACTAAAAACAGGTCCACAGGGATTTCCTGAAGAGGAATAAACAGCTTTTCTAAACTCCAAGATGGGTGAAGAAAAATTTGTCTTCTGCTGTACTAAAGGGAAAATTTCTCTGAAAGCATTGACAAATATCTTCCTACACAAACTATACTCTGACAAAACCATAATTTTGTCACCCCTGAATTATACCCCTGAATATTAAACATTTGATGCAATGGACAATTTCTATTAAATCTGAATGGGACACAGTCTCAGATAACAGTGACAACTGCATTCTGCCCAACTCATATTGGTTTCACTGCTTCCTCCTCATTTGCCCTGAACTTGGGAGAAAATGTGTGATAAATAAGGGGGCTGAGGAGGAATTCCCTGTTACGTGGGAGAACTGCAGCAGCACAGGGCTGTTAAAGACAAATGGCAACGGGACTGGGCATAATAGCTGCTAATGTAAGGCATTATACACAATGTGGGAAGGAGAGAAACGGGGTGAAATCTTGAGTGAAAGTGATATTTTGTGAATATGTTTGTAAATTTGAAACCATGAAACCTATTTAAGGAACATACTAGTATCATGTCTTCACCATGACATTCATTTGTTGACACTTTAACAATAACCAGAGACTTGCAGGCCCCACTCATGTCAACCTGTCACTATGTTTGAAAGGCACTGGACTTGCTGATCTACTTTTAGCCAGATTCCCTTGTGTACAGCTTTAAGGTATCACTGAAAAGATACTGAACTTCATGGGATACAAACTGTTCTTATACAATCAGAAGGCATATGATTAGCTAATAAAATACATTAATATAATATCAGGCACAGACAGAAGGAAATAAAATACATTTCTGCAGAAGAGATTAACATAGATATTTCAATGGATTAAGAAGTTTCAGTGACAGAAGGTATATTTAATATATAAAATCCATATAATGAGAAGCAGTTGAAAAAATAGGACACCTGTCATGCGTCCAAGAAATATCTTCATAAAAAAGCTGTCACATATAAACACTTCTCAGCAACAAAACCCTCTGCAACTGAACAAGGCAAATTTAATTCTGAATGTAGAATGTGCCTCAGCATGGATCTTATAATTACTAATATCCTTGAGCAACTGGATATCTCCAAATTCAAACAGCACTTACCTTTTCCTGTTAAATAACTCCTTCCTGACATTTATGATTAATTGTACATAAAGGCTGTTGGTCTATTCTAGCAAAAGGACAGTTAAAAAGGAATACAATCAATGTGTATAAATATACCCAGAGGCAAATACTTGAGAAGGGTAGGAACTAATTAAGCTCAAGGCCAATGCTGGCAGAAGAACAAATGGTAATAACTTGGCCATGAAGAAATTCAGGTTGCAAATAAAACAACCTAATGTTTTCAGATGAAAATTCACAATTTTGTGATCAAGATGACCTGGCTGTTTTGAGTAACCAGGGCTTGAGCTCAAGAGCCCAAGGACGCCTCTCACTTCCAGTCATACATCCTAAAAACAAAATGAATTTTAACACTCTTGAAAAACAAATAGATGTTAAATCCTGCAATAAATCTGCTTACTGAAAAAATATTATATTGGCTATAAATTATAAGATAAAAATACCTATAAACTCAGAATCAATAATTAATTATAAAAATTAATCAATTCCCAAAGGTTTAAAACCTGATTTGCGTAGTTCCAGAAGACTCTGGCTCCTCATTGAAGCTATTGTGACTCTGAAGGATCCTCTCCAGCAACAGGTAGAGCTGCTTAAATCCTGTTACAACAGCAAACTCTGAAAGATCCCTTCGCTTTCTACCAATATTCCTTATTCTTGTTCCAGCCCCCAAACACTGAGGGGCAGAAAATGCTGACACACCACGCCTTACCATACCAGAACATAAGGAATAAGCTATCATTTTTCATGTCGTATGGAACTTGTTTCTATCCTGCCTATCACAAAACCTCAAGAAAATAATACTGAAGAATAACCAGTGTGCATGTGGGATACGCCAATCAATCACATACATGGCCCATTCACTGCCCTTTTCCACTTATTTTAGTAAATTTTATACACAAACCGATGGAAAACACACAAATTAAGCAAGTACCTTTAGAATATTCAGTGTTTTGGGTCATGGGGTGCTTTTTTCCAAGCTGTGAAATTAGCAAACTTTTCACTAAGAAAGTTTGGTCTAGAGAGGTGAACCATTTCATCTTAGATTAGACTGATTTGTGCTTCTTAAGGAACCATGAGGAATCTGCTCTACTGTCAGTTGATCCTCCACCATATCCATGATTTAACTTCAGCTTTTACTAATAAATATATTTTCAGTCATTAAATACAACAGCCTTTTATTTTGAGTCTTTGGCAATACTCATGTTCACCAGAAATGCCATTTCAACCGATCCCAACTTTTTTTTCAAAATGCAGATCAAATTAATTGCTTTCCTTCACCTAAAAAAATATTTTCCTTTCTTTCCTTTCTCCCCCTCTTTTTCTTTTATTGATTGTTAAAAAAAACCCCAAACCACAAAATACATACAATGACCAAATATGGATGGTCCTTGATAATCGTCATTTTTTTTCCCCCAAAATATATCTGTAATACAGCACACATGCAACTTTTAAGCAAGGAACACCAAAGCACTCCTAGTCCAGGATGCCCAGACCACATCATGACAAACATTCTCGTTCTGGACAAAAGCATAGTTAAATTCTTAAAAAAGAAGATGGTGATCACTGCCAATTTAGTGATCTTCTGTGTTTATTGATAATGATACCTATGTTAATCCTTAATTATTGTTGCTTTGCTTTATTAGAAATATTATTTGGGGGACAAATAATTTTGTTCATCAGATAGGTAGGGTTTTGGGGTTTTTTTCAGAAAAAATTATTTTCTATTTCAACTACTTTTCACTTCAGACTGAACCAGAAATCAATTCTTCACAAGGTTCTAATGTGAAGTTATTAAAAATTGCTTTATACTCTCAAAATTCTTCTTTCCTATCTTTCTTTCTTTCAAGGAAAATATCGATTTTCAACCCAGACTTAATAGCAACAGATGGAGGACATTCTCTAGTATAGCTTCTTTTTTTTTCCATTCTACTGTGTTTTTCTTTTTAAACTGAAGTGCTGCAAGTGGTAAAGATAATACTATTACATACATGTATATATCTATATGTGAGGAAACATACATTCACCATTATATCATTATTTATGGACTGGAAATTTCTAAGTAATTAAAAGGAAAAATAGGACCAGCTTTTGCAGGTGGAAAGTGGATGTACTTACAGAAGCTCTAAGGAAATTTTCATTGTGCTAATGCAGTGCTATGATTGTTCAAAAAACTGAGTGGATGCGATGACTCTATAAATACACACACTATTCTTATTCAGAATTCAGGACACTGTATCTCACTACATTCTTATTCTGCCTCATTTAATACTTACAGGCAGACTGTAAGAAGGTTCCAGTATCACTGGCACTGACATCTTCCCTTGAAGATTCAATTTTGTCAAGTAAAAAATCTTTTCTCCCACAATCCTCTCCTTTTTCATGCGCCGTACGCTGTACAGTCGAAAGCGAACCGCATAATTCCCAATCATCTCCGACTCGACATGATTAAATTTGAATGTCTCTGTGAAGACGGGGCACGGTCCCCGCTGGATGCTGGTTTTTGCTCTCTGCTTCTTTATAGGGAGAAGAACTAGGTGTACTTGCCACGAGCTTCCACCTGTCCTGCTGTATGTTGGAATGTCTGTGACAGCTGTCACTGTCACCAAAAGCTTCTGTTCCTGTGAGTCATAGTCAAAAGTCACATCCAATGTGCCATATTTAGCTACTGGCTCAGGATCAAAAGGTTTAGGAAGCTGTGAAGATGATCCTCGAGCTGACATATCCTGAAAAAGAAGAGAAAAAAAGCCATTTATTTATTTATTTATTGTATTCTATTATTGAATCTGGCATGGAAATTATGGTTTACTCCTGACAATATGAAGCCACTATGATCTTTTTGTTCATTTCCTAAACAAGGTTATTAAGCACTGAAGGCCCAAGGAGATGGATGGCTGGCTGGCAGTCAAGATGAAATCAAGACTTTACCTGGCCAATACCACCAAAAGCCAGGAGCCAATCAGTCTGAACTGATTGAGTTAAGCTGTAATGATCTCTTCTTCTGTGCCTCACATGTTAAAAAGTATATACATTTTTTACAAGATAAAACCACCTTATTTCATGTACTTCACACATGCATTTCGAAGTTCACCTATTACACTGCTTGAAGAGACAGCTAATGATTGAGAGCACAGTGAGATGCCAGCAAAGAACACAGGAATTACAAACCTTACACACACAGCTCCTGTTGCAGTCCGCAAGAGTTATATGAATATGCCAAAAAATTATAATAGAAACATAAAATCACAGAAAATTTTGAGTTGGAAGGGACCTTAAGTATCTTTTAGTTCTAATCCCTCTGCTATGGCCAAGAATGTCACTCTCAAGGCTTTATTCATGTAATTTTACCAGAACTGTAGAAGATGTATCTGTTTTGAATTCATCTTCTGAACTCTCTGTAAACCATATTCAATCCCAAAATTGTATTTTAAACTTAAAATTCAGACGGTTTATTGTCACTTCAAATTTTGAATAAAATACTGATCCCCTATAAAGTTACAACAGCCAGTTTGATAGGGATACTGAAACAGAAAATATTTACAAGTACAGGTCAACCCACTGCTCATACAATAAATTATTCCAAGTATGTAAACAAAGGTATTTCAAGTGTGTCTTCACATTATCTAAGTTAAGCTTGTTTACATGAACAAATAGATGCCAAGACAAAGCCTTCTGAGCTAAGAAATGTTCTTATTTTAACCTGGCTGCCAGATAGCTGTGGGAATGCATTCCTCTAAAGGCTTTACTCCTGAAGCTTTGAGTGGCTATAAAAAAACATTGGCAGCATTCTCAGTTCTTACTGAATATGCTTACATTAACGACTGGAGTGACACAAAATGGGAAGGGCTTGCAGCTGAGCCTTCCAGACCCTGCATCAACACCCAGGTACACATCATCAATTACCAACAGGGCTGCTTAGACAGAAACATCAGGGCTAAGCTCTAACATTCACTTCAAAACTTCTGGTAGCAACAAAAGACAATTTTGTAGCAAAAGAGCTTCTTCTGCACATGGCATCACTAATTAGACTTCACCCATAGATGTCAGTGCAGTAACTGGTTATTAAAAGCATTTCAATGAAATACGCATCAAAAAATTTGGTTTCTTCATAGAAAAAAAATACATATATATCATTACAATCTATAGCACAGAAATAGGAACATTAAGTGGGCCAAATCACTATATAGATCAACAATTGAAAGAAAAGACCTTTGAAATTTTTTTTTTCTCATAAAATTTATTTTACATTATGGGGTGTTCAGTTTGAAAAAGCATTAACAGAACTTTTATTTGGATTGTCTGAAAAATCATGTGGAAGAATTTCAACTATAGTCTTTACAGTGTGATGAAATTTTCTGACTGGTTTAAAATGGTTTAAAAAATAATTCACTCTTACAAGGAGCTGGTTTGAAATCCTACTGTCCTATTTTCTGACAAACTACTTTTTTTTTTTTTTTAAATGAAATGAGCAGGACTATTAGTGCCTGTATAACTGTGCATTGATCTTTAGATTAAAGAAGTGCTTCACCATGCTCAACTATTTTCATTTACCTCTGGACTAAGAACCGCTGTGCTGTCACTGGGAACATCCTCTTCGTACCCTTTGTTATGAAAGCTTTCTATTTCGTGTCCCGTGCTTCCCTCACTTGGGCACTTATAGGAACACCTTGGGCTGTTGCTGCACTGGGAATATTCACATTTGCTGTCTCCAACTTCGGAAGGCGTACAGGAAAGATGAGGGGAGCCACTGTCATCCTGGTAGGGAGGCGGCTGCAGTTCATCCAGCGGGGGTGTTCTTCTCATCCTCTGAATGCAGTTCGCTGAGAAGAAGTGAAAATGCTTTGCTTACTTTATGATTGTTCACTGTTCAAACAGTTCTGTGGAAAATGTAAATCTAAATGCCCGGACAGAGAATTTAAAAATCTATGTATGGCTTTTTTTTTAAACTTTACATTTCAAATCAGATGAAAAATACTACTGAAAAAAAAATTTTGTTCAAAACGGAAATGAATGATCTCTCAGATGAAATAAATTTAGATAAAAGCAAAGTTTTAAGTGTATAATCAGAATAGATTGTGCAAACCACATGTAAATAAATATAGCATGGATATGACATGACAAAAATTCAAGGCTTGAATTTCAGGGATGCTTACCTTGCAAAAACCTTTGGATATCTTAATTCAGATTCTGTGCAGATGGAATGTAGGCCAATTATGGAAACAAAATGCACTCCCTAAAGCCACGATATCAAGCTGATTACCTCCCATGCAGTTGCCCACCAGGGAGATACTAAATTAAACTCTGAAGACAAGTAAGGTACTAAAAAAGACAACCTTTCACACAAATGAACTCTGCTCACCAATGAATTTAAAATGTGAAGCAGTGTCTCAGATTCCTTATTACTTGTTAAGAACAACTAAAGGGTACGTATCCAGTGTCTGGAAGTTACATACTACCTCTAGTCACTAAAGACAGTGGAAAAAGGGTCATGAGCAATCTTGTGCTTGGGATGAATACTTGATGCTGACCATCTTTGCTTTTCACACTAGATAGATAGATAGATAGATAGATAGATAGATAGATAGATAGATAGATAGATAGATATGTGGTTATACATCTCCAAAATTAAACCTGATGCATGGCTACAGACACAGAAAGTTAATTCAAAATAATTACTTTTCAATTTTTTATCTCATATTTTACTATGCAGCATTATACAGTTGAATAGAATTGGGAAAAGACAGCAAGGTGTGCAGCACCTGAAATTAAAGGAATATCAAGGACAGGTAAAGAACTGTCTCGGATTTTGTTTACATTTTCTGTAGAGGTTTCAATGAAGATTTCTATGCCCCTGACATAAAGAATTACCTTATACATAAAAATTTCAAAGCAAAAATGTTTTCTGGTGTCAAACATACCATTTCATGCACAGAAAAACCTACCAAATAAGCAAGTTAAAGAAAGTATTAACTGGGGAATGCAGGGCTCTTCTCTATTTCAACAGCTCCTAAAAGAACCATAGCAAAAAAGTAATTAAAACACTCCCACAAGATGAAACTACTGTCAGGAACCCTCTCATCTCTGATAAACCCATCAGAGCCAGCCTGCCATTCAGAGTGATTCCAAAATACTGTTCCAGAACTCCTGCAAAAGGTTTTCTGCTATTAGTGAGCCAGTGCTACTAGCTCTTGAACTTCCAGCCCCCCAGGGCTGGAAAACAAAACAGACAGCAGGGAATTCTATACTTGAATTGTAGTCATCTGTCTAGCAGATAAACATGAAACCTCACCTATGAATATTAGACAACTCATGCCCATGAAACTACATAGACATAGAATCTAAGCTGATATTTTAATCATAATAAAATAAAGATGTGCACAATTTGACTGCCTATACCATGAAAACTGGACTTCCTTGTCATAATCTATATCATTAAATATTATAGAAAATTCAGAAAAATAGCATTTCTTCTCATTGTTGCCAAAAAGCAACAAACAGCATTAAATGAGACAGTAACTACTTGGCAGTCCTGAGTTTCTTTCTGTTCACTTGTCATCAAGTCTGACAAGAATTTTTAACACCCAGCTTTTCCATAATCTAATGAAATGAAAGTGTGTCCAGGTAGTTATCAACACTATTATTGTCTTACATGAGTAAATAAATGACTGTGTGACTCACTTTTTTCACTTTGATGAACTCCATTATATGTCCCTATGGGAAAATTGTACAGGCTGTGTGACAGAAAAGGTGCTTTTAATGTAGGCATGGAAGAAGTGAAGACAAAATTCTTACTAACCAGCCATGATTCAAAAATCTCAGAAAAAGCTAAAACACTGGGGCAGGTTTCAACTACATATTTTTCAAATTTCAGTTTAACAAACTTAAATAGCATGTAAATTCTTAAAACAAGTATCTGGGATTAAAAATCTAGAGACACCTCTGTCTAGAGAGTTATAAACTGGTTTTGAACAACAGCTTTCTGAACAAAAAAAGATATGAAAGTTTGCAAATTAATTCTCAAGGTGAAACTGTCTCATTTTAATTTCCCCCTCCCCACAGTAAATGATGCAATAAAATGAAATTTTTTTGTCACGGTTCTTTGAAAACCATGAAGATTTGAATTCCATCGAGACATTCTAATGACTGATGATATCAAAGCCAAGTGATATCACAGACAGTAGTGAATACAGCAATACTAAATATCTGATCCTGGGTATTTTCCTTAAAAATTACTTAGAAGTAGTGACAACCTGTCTAAAAAAATTTTGCATATGTATCAAAGCTTAAAGTACAAAACCACTGCTAGTGCTTGCTGGCTTATCACTAATTGTATTGGAGATCATTTGGAGCTGAAAGGCAAGATGATCTGAAGTGTGTGCATATTTACACATGAAACCCTTGTGTGTTACATACCTTGCACCTTTTATTTAAAGTGTAAGTTTCAGACACAGCTATGTCTACTTCTGACAAAGCCAAAGAATATCTCCCAAAGACCACTGAATGTGGCTAATAATATCTGCTAAAGAGTTACAAGCAAACGAGTACACTGAAAATCTGAAATTAATCATTGCATTGCTTCTATGCAATTTTCAAATCACATAGAAAATACCTTTTGTAAATTCATTTGTAAATTAAATTAATCACATTAAATAACCACATCACCTTGGACTAGATAGGGTAAAAAACAAGCCAGCATATGTCCCAAAATTGGAAGTAAGATACAATCACGGAGAAATCAAATCAGGTTTAGTCTGAGATTCCTACCAGCCAGAAAATGGCATAACAGAGAAAAGACAAATAGAAAGAAGGAAGAATGGAAAGACAGAACCATACCTTCAGTTATCCACCCAAAGTATGCAAAAATACTGGGCACTCTCATGATATGAGTGAAACTAAATTTGTTTAGTAATGAGTATTTGGTAAACTCTAAATTGAGACTAAACACTAAATTGAGTGTATTGGTGTCAATAGGAAGATTTGAATAAACAATTTTTAGAGGGGTAACTGCTTTAATAAAAGTTTTCATCCTCCCTCAGTTGGCTTGGAAAACAGCCACTTAATGGTGATAGTAAGGACCTTGCTTAATAGCTGAAGAAATCAGAACCATAAATGAAATACCTGACAAACCTGAGCAATTAGCATTTTGCTGGTAGACTCAGAGATTACAGCATGTAAACTGTCACCAGCACATTTAAGTCAGAAGTAATTTACTACTGTTTGTTAAGCAGTGAATGTTCATCTGTTTTCCTAAGCTCCTGTAGGACAGGTTGCAAGTGAAAGGGGCATGATACATACCTTGCCATCAATCTCAAGAGACTCCCAAGTTAAATCTGACACAGCAACCTAGGCCAAACTGAGCAATCCTGGAACATACAATCGGTAACTACGAGAAAGTCCAGAAAATTTTCAGTCATTTTGCTGGGCGGGAATCAAGGTTTAAAGATGCAGAAGTTTACCATAAGAAATGCTTTTGGTTTTCAGTTACTACTTGAAATTTCTTCTTCCAAAGCTGCTCATTTCTTCTCTCTGTTCTTCTCTCATGGACCATGCCAGGCTGCATATCTCACCGTGCAGATGGTGATGTCCTTTTCCCATGTTTACAGCATTTATACTTTCCTATTTTAATTATTTTTCCCAGAGGTTCACAGCAGCAGCACCTACCCAGTCCCCCTTAGCCCATATTTCCTGAGTAATTCCAAGAACACCCATCTCTTAACATGGAAAAAGAAACTACCTTTGTGCCCTTAATTCCCCTGTCCCATAAGCCATCATTAACTACACTTCTGCACTTTGAGTTCCTCATGTACAGTACTTCTTTAAAAATTCACGTTGTTGTGGGAGGCAACAGTATCACAACACCCCTATTGGAATCTGGCTACCAGTTCCTTTAAAATAAATAGTCACTTCATAAATCAGTAATTTTTGCAAGTCATATTTTGTAATTGTCAGAATATCTTCATGCTCAAATGGTACCTTTCCTTTCTCTAATATATGTCTGCTCACACTCTGCTACATAATTATTTTTTTTAATCAAACGTAAATTTCAAGTTTTCAAGCCTTCAAGGGGTTCTATGTAAATGTTAAGACAATTTAAATAAAACATAAAATGAAATACATGTTTAAAAATTAAAGAAACCTTTCTTATTCTGAATGATTAAATACCCTTAGAGATTTCTGATAGGCAGCACAGACAGTCCAAATGGAATTTTCATGTTTGAACTTTTCTACCATCCAAAAATATTATGTTGACTAAATTACCCCACATTACAGGGAGTATAAATATAAACATTAAATATTGAATGAAACCTCAGGCCTCTCCTTCCTTTAAAATTAAAAGCTTACATGCATTTTTGTGAGGACAAAACCCAAATTATTTCACAGAACAACAAATTACCTTGGCATTATTCTATTTCTTTTCCAAAAGAGTTATGGCATGAATCATGCTTAATGAAAAAAGGGGAATATAGGAGTGGTATGAGGTCATTGTGGACAACAGAAAAAAATTTCTTTCTTTTTGCATTTGCTTTTCTCTTGCATTTGCCACATTTTAGACTTCTATTCACAGGTGAACTATCTTCCATATTAGACAATTCACTGTAAACAAGAAAAAGTATCGTATCTATTTGGCTGGGGTTTTTTTCCCAATAATAGATAACTCTGTTTCCTAATATTTAGAAAATTCCATACACTATGAGCTTACTCCCAGACCTATGGAAATCAAAACAGCATTGCTGTCATTTACACCTGATGTCATGTGAAGCTTTTAGCACTGCATTTGCCTCAGTCTCTCAAGTGCTATTGGTCATTCATGTAATAAAAA